GCACGTGCTCACTCTCACAAATCTAACTGCATACTGACCAGTGCGACCGCAAACAAAAGATCCTGCGCCATGTATCGAAGTCTGTGCATACCTCTCGTGCATTGTGGATTGGGTTTGGGGGGGTGCCGGCTACCAGCTCTGCTTGTCTGTTACAGCTGGGTGGTGTGGGGGGAGATGTGCGAGCTATTCTGAGATGAGGCTCTTTTGTTTGCGGTTGCACTATAGCGCCATTTAGTTTCACTTACGTAACGTGAACTAAACTCATGCGCGGGCGATAAAAATGGTATATTTTCAGAAATTTAAATTGTCACGGGGAATTTTATGAAAACCTAATGAAAATGTTTTTAAATAATGCTATGAATTTTTTTAAAAAAGTCAATTAAATTAAAAAAAGGAAAGTGCGACAAAACCCCTACCGCCCACCATGAAAGCTGGAACGCCCACTAGTGGGCAGTAGGGACCAGGTTGACTACCACTGCTTTATATGCTATGTACTCTAAATTCTCCATTGACTGCGATAGAATTGACCATCCTTATCAGATGACTTTATTGGCTCAGTTCATTATATTTGACAAGTGAAAAAAGGAAACATCTGCATAAATTAAATCAATCCATAATAATAATGGCTCAACAACATTCAGAGAATTAAATGAATATTTGTATGGCGTGTCATATACTCGACAATTCCTGAGTGAGCCAAAGCTGAAGTACTCATATTATGAGTCTAACTAAGGATCTTTCAAATCAGATCCTTAGTAAGTAGAAATAATCTGTGATGGCAGACGACCCAGATCCTCCATTTACAGAGTTTTCATTTCAAAGACCCTCCTTATTTTACCCATAAACACTGAATTCCCCTGATGGGAGATGGAAAAGTACAGGAACTAATTCAGATATGAAAGCTAGTCTTCTCCAAACTAAAATTATTTTATATTGGCACACATTTTGTACTTAGGTAGTCCTCAACTTACAACAGTTCATTCAGTGACTGTTCAAAGTTACAATGGCACTGCAAAAAGCGACTTATGACCGTTTTTCACACAACCATTGTGGCATCCCCATGGTCATTTGATCAAAATTCAGATGTTTGGCAATTGACTCATATTTATGATGGTTGCAGTGTCCTGGGGTTGGATGATCCTCTTTTGCAACTTTCTGACAAGCAAAGTCAATTGGGAAGCCAGATTCACTCAACAACTGTATTACCAACTTAACATCTGCAATGATTCGCTTAACAAATTTGGCAAGAAAAGTCGTAAAATGGGGCAAAATTCACTTAACAAATGTCTCAGCAACAGAAATTTTGGGGTCAATTGTGGTTGTAAATCGAGGAGTGCCTGTATGTTCTAATATACAGTGATCTCAGATTAACAAATATGTTTACGTACAGAGCTTCTTGTAGTTGCTTAACAGTTTCAGTTGGTCCCTTTTAACTTACACATTTCTAAATGCAGTCCCTGCTTTATTATGTTAACTGCTTCAGTCAGTTTGGCAGTACTTTCCTTCTCCAGAAAGGAAGCCCGAAAGGAGGAATACTTTTTCTTTTTCCTGAGCCTCCTGGGAATGAGAAACTTGGACATACTTCCCTTGGTCAGTCATTCCAGTGCAGCGCTAGTCCTCTGCAGAACTCCCTTGAGTTTGCTTAACTATTAGACCTCAGTCTGCTTTCTCTGAGGATCTTTTCTTCAACTAAAGTACCTGCTTTCCTCCAATGGCATCAGCTCTTCCTCCTTGATACACATACAGCATCTCCAATTCACAATGTAACATGCAGCGTGACTATTGCACCACTTTCCCTGGCAAATCTCTCCTTTATAAATCTTACATTGGAAGGAAGATTTGCTTACTCACTGGTAACTTAATTAATCCAAGACCCTTCTAGCTTTTACATACATGGAAGACTTTATGCAGTTGGCAAACAGGAAGAAATTCCAACTTTGAGACCAAAGTACAATCCAGCCAAGTCTATCGAAACTCCCCAACAAAATACACTCTTTCAGGAAAAGCACAGCCCATTTTGCCATGTTTAATAAGTGAAATTATAAGAAATCTCACTTGAATGCCTTCAACTGGGAAAGCCCAGATTTGCATATCGAAGGAAGGAAGGAAGGAAGGAAGGAAGGAAGGAAGGAAGGAAGGAAGGAAGGAAGGAAGGAAGGAAGGAAGGAAGGAAGGAAGGAAGGATCGTGTGCCAGATTTTCCACATAATTTCTCCTTTAGGTTTATAAATTGTACAGCAAGGAGGCAGAGAAATTGAGTAATCAGATTTCCTAGTTGCCAGATTTGGGCCTGAACACTGTAACAGCAATGTGAATAGTATGAGGCCCTACCACTGTGGTATTTAATCACTGATAAGGAAAATATTTTGAAATATTTTTCATTCTTCATGCATTCAAATGAAAAATTAAGTCTATGAAAATAAATGTAAAGACAAACAACAGATCTGGCTCTTCACATATCAATATTCCAATACAGTATTTAATTCAATACTGAAATACAAATGCTTCAAACAAGGCAAATCAGACATTTTTAAAAGCATTTTTTTTCAGTAAAGAGAGACATTTACTAGAGAGAAAACAGAGAATTCCATATAAAGACTTTGTCACAGGTTATTTTACATATACTCAGGTTAGTAACCTCAGAGACCCAATACAAGCACACTTGGCCTTTAGGCAACACACCAACAAGTACTAAAAGACTGGTACTCACAGTTTACTATGCCATTTTCTCCTATACTATTACAACTTGTTTCTTTACTACTACTTCTCTTTGTGAACTCTATTTCTGGAGAATAGTAACCGCAAACTATATTTTCCTTAGGTTGTTTCAGGTTGTTTTAGTTTCCCAAATGAACACCACAACTCCAACATTGTCTGCCCCAGCTGCTTCTCTACTTAGCTATTATAGCCACCAGTTGCAGGGCTGGCTAGAGAGAGATCTTAAAGGGACAGGACACCAGCAGACCAGGTGCTGGCCATTTTGCAGGATGCTTGTCCTCTAAGACAGGAGTCCCCAACCCCCAGTCCGTGGATTGGCACCGGTCCACAGCATACCAGAAACCGGCCAACGCAAACAAGCAAAGTCCATTTGCTGGATACAGACAGCACACGAAACTATGCCCCCTTGGTCCATGGAAAAACCTCTCTCCATGGAACCGGTCCCTGGTGCCCAAAAAGTTGAGGGCCTCTGCTCTAAGATACTTCAAGCTGAACAGTTATAATTAGTATGGCCCATCACTGGGCAAATTTTCAAAACATTAAGGAGATTAAAAGTTTTGATTATGCTTTTCTCAAAAATGTAAAGTTCTCCTAAGTGAAATAATTCAATAAACAAAAGCTAACTATAATTTGTAAAAAAGAAAGAAAGAAAAGAAACCATTAAAGGTTCTTTTTAAGCCATCTCAGTTAAAAACAGGAAAGTATTTAAACTCAACATTTCATTTTTATGTATTTAATGAATACTTTTTGCTCTCTTTAGGGAACACAAAATGAGAGTTAAATCTTTCAGAAATAATGTAGTCAGAATACCAACGTGGGAAGCCCCCCTCCCTTTCCTAGAGAATGAAATATTTTGGGGACTATTAAAAGAAGCAGAATATTACATTTCCCCTAAAGGAGAAAAGGAGAGACATCTTCTTAAAGGCAGAAAATTGCCCAAGTCTTCCTGCTATAGGAAAACAGTGTCAAGCAGAAACTTGAAGAAGCTAATCTTTAGGAATGGAGATTTTGTAATCCATTCAGAAAGATTGGGCCACCGTATTTATAAACAAATGCCTTCAGCCACAGCTTCCACACAAGGTTGGAACTGATGGGATTAGAAAAACAAAGACTCCTAAAATCTACATTCCACACCCAGCTCCAAGGACAAGGCATAACCTCCCAGGCACAATGGGAGTCAGGCAACAATAATTAGAATACTAAAAGGGCACACTCAAGCACAGGACAAATTACATTTCACAACAAACAGGCATCTTAAACACAAAGCCCCAAAGAATGTATAAAAACCTACCTACTCTCAACTCCATTTTGTCAACTGTCCCAGAACCACATTCTGTTTTTGGTTCTGCTCATCAATAAACAGACCTTCTTTCCTAAGCAGCTAGCCTCCATTTTATTTTTCAGCGTCTTTCTCCTGGCTTGGAATCAGATTTTAAAATGGTAAAATTTGCAACTCTTACTAATATATAGAGGTTTCACAAACAATTTCTTCTAATAGAAATAATTTTGACATAGACTTATTTTCTCTATTCTTTTATGCAGTTTCAATTATTTTTCTGAAGAAAAGTTTCTCCAATTTGTGCTTTTAACATAAAAAACAGAGGTTAAACCTCTATTTTAAGAATATCTGTAATACATACTTTTAAAAACAGAAGTATTCCTTATCTTTGTTCCTATTTATACCTCTATCTTCATCTATCTAAATATAAAAACATATCTCATTGATCCAGCAAGTCTTGGAAGCTAAGACTGGAGAAGAAACATTAGAGATTTTCAGAGCTGCTGGCTAGAAAGCAAAATATATCCTGGAAGAAGCAGAAGCAAACTGGTTCCAGGAAAACTTCATTAATAAAATTGTGCGCAACCAAGCTCTTAATTATATAAGAATTTTCAGAAATATGGAGTCCTTGTGGTTTCTGAGCTTGGTTGCTTGCAGATGTTTCATGAGCAACATATATTCAAACTATCTGTTCTTTCTGCTATTTATTTCTTATCTAGAAACTGTGCAGAGTTTTACTACCAAAAAATGGATCCTAGCAAAATTCTCTTCAATGCTATCACACATATCATGGCAAAGTCCATAAAAACCTCTGATAATATATTTTATTTCTTTGCTTTTACAAACCATTTGTTTATATTCACATTCAAATACAAAATATAGTCATTAAATAAGGAAATGTGTTTTTATTTAAACACTTTTGACAAAACTGCCTGTCCAAAAATTACAGCAAAATGCTCCTTGTCAGAATAGAGGAAAATGATGACTGGGTTAAAGCAATTTACCTTGTTTGTGAACAGAAACCTGGTTTTTTCCACTTTGCCAGGTGTGTGGACAGCAGAAATTGGTGGAGGCCAAGTGTGGGTCATTTCCTTAGAAAAAAAATGAGAGAAATTTCAAAAATATAAGGCATTAAGATATTTTAAACTTGAAAACCTAAATTCTAAAACAAAGGATTTTATGGCAGTTTTGTTGTCAATATATTCATTTTTTTAATAACAAAAACCCCAGCCACACCAATATGCATGAAAAAATGATTCCACCCATTTTCCATTATCTCACCCTCTGTCAGCCCTCTCAGGTAAAACAGACAGGAAACATAACTAGATGAAGTGATTTTACTTCATTGTACAGAATCTTGTAAGTCTCAAAATACATATTTTTAACTATTTGATCCAATAGGGCAGGTCCTTCCTAAGATTATTTCTCTCACTGTTAAGCCACTGACGGCTCCTGCTTCTCTTACCTACAGTATTTGTTTCCTTCCTCTCTTCCCTCTCATTCCCCAAGATCATCCATGCATTTCTTTACACCAGACATGTCAAACACAAGGCCCGGGGCGCAGATGTGGCCCGCGAAGTGAATTCATGTGGCCCGCGAAGCCATCCTGGAAACAGTGAGGGAACGGTCCCCCTGCCTTGGCTCTGCCCAGGCTGGCCAGGAGCCAATGTACAATTTTGTGGTGGCCATCTATGCTGAAACGCATTCAGTCTTAGCTCCACAAGGCCATCTGGAAACAGCGAGGAATCAGCCCCTGCCACATCGCCCCCGCCCCCTGGGTGCATGCTAGGGAGGTGTCACCTTTGTGAGGAATGAAGAAATGCACCATCGCCTGGAAGTGGCCAGCAAATGGCCCTCACCTACTTCACATATCCGTCTTGATGGGCTCCAGGGGAAGGGTTTCGGCAGGCAGCGGGGCGCTCTCCTCACAGCGCTGAGGCTGAGCTGGCGGCGTGAATCTGATGAGAAGCGCGAGGCCTCCCAGCTCCCAGTCTCAGCAGGTAGCAAGGTGCGAAGCTGACGAGCTTCGCACTGCCCGGCTCAACCTCTTGGCGCTGTGAGGAAAGCGCCCAATGCCTGCCAAAAATGGGCAGGCTGGGGGCTGGGCGGCCTCGTGCTAGTTTTTGGATTCATGCCGCCTGGCTCAGCCTCTCAGCACTGTGAGGAGAGCGCCCCGCTGCCTGCCGAGACCGGGCAGGCTGGGGGGCATTGAGCAGGTAATGTTGACTCTCACACTGCTCATGGCATCCTCTCCCCCAGAGCCCACTAAGCCAGATATGTGAAGTAGGTGAGGGCCATGTGCTGATCACTTCCAAGCGATGGTGCATTTCTTCATTCCTCACAAAGGGTGACACCTCCCCAGCTGCATTTTTTGCCTGTTTTTCTCCCTCCCTCATCACAAATATTTTCTCACTACTCTGTACTTAGGAAGGAAGGAAGGAAAGAAGGAAAGAAAGAAAGAGAGGGAGGGTCTGAGGGAACTCCTGCCTTAATCCTGCCCTGCTGCCCTTTCACCATCCCCTTGCCCCCTCCTCCTGGCCTATCCTGGGGGTCTCCCATCCTATTGCTAAGGAAGCTTTGGATACAAAGCTGGGTCTCCTCCCATGGAGAGGGAATGGGCCTCCTTCTGACTTTGCCCTCGTACCCATCATGAGCAACCTGGCTAAGGAGAGCAAGCACAGCAGCAGCAGCCTTGAGGAGGAGATAAGTGCAGCTGGGCGCCCCCTTGGGGAAGTGGGGCTGGGCTTGGTGCCGCGGGTGCTCGAGGGTCAGGATGAGCGTTTGACCTCTGCTGCCCAGGTCTCCAGGCAGCCCGCACCACCATCCAGCCCCCCCCATGGCCTGAGAGGAACAGTAAAGCTCCTCCAGTGGACCATGCCTTGGCACTTGTCCTGGTCCCACCCCCTTCTGCCAGAGACCCTCAGATCTGTCCCACTCCTGCCCAGGCCCCCACAGGCATCCTTGACACGAACAATGTAGAGCTGGCCACGCCCACCCAGTAGGCCACACCCACTCCATCCACGCCCACCCAGTAGGCCGCACCCACCCGGCCCCCCAAGTGCAACCGCAATGCTGATGCGGCCCTCAATGAAATTGAGTTTGACACCCTTGCTTTACACCTTCCCCAAAAGCATGCTTCACAACCACACAGCCACCAAAGCTTGCCTGCTGCTTATTAATTGTGTATATCAGTGGTTTTTTTACTCTTGATAACTCTAAGATGTATGGACTTCAACTCCTAGTATTCCTCAGCCAGGATAAAGTCCACATATCTTAGAGTAGTCATGATAGAGAAACAGTGATGTATGTATTCAAAAGGAACCCAAAGATGCTTTTTCACGAGGCAACTGGACTTTCATGTTTTTCTTTGAAGACGTTTCGCTTCTCATCCAAGAAGCTTCTTCAGCTCGGACTGGATGATGGGGAATGAAAGTATTTATATTCCTTGCAGACAGTTGTTCATTTGCATTTTTTTAGCGAGTCGTTAGTACTGCCTAGAGGCTTATCTGTGTCTTCAGAGTGACCTGAGTAGTGCAAATGGGTGTGGAGCCTTCTTGGAACTGTTGAAAGAAGGCTCCACACCCATTTGCACTACTCAGATCACTCTGAAGACACAGATAAGCCTCCAGGTAGCACTAACGACTCGCTAAAAGAATGCAAATGAATAGCTGTCTGCAAGGATTATAAATCCTTTCATTCCCCAGCTGTTAATTGAATTGATTTGATTCTTTAATTGAACTGAATTGATTTTTGATTACTTTCATATGTTTTTGGTATGTTTTTGTTTTTGTTTACATTTTGAATTCTTTGAACTGTTATAAGCTGTCCTGATTATCAAATGATAGATAGGCTGGATGTAAATATAATAAACAAATAAATAAATAAATATATCCTTTGCAGCAGCTAGTCATTTGAGCCATTTTTCATTTGTTTTTCACTAACGTCTTCTATTATTATTATTAGTGAATATAAGATAGCTGACTCAGTACATAGATAATGACAAAACAGTATACATCATACTGAATCCTTCTTTCAGAGTTTTATTTTCCACTAAAAGGCAGTCTTTTATTTTATTGGATGCCACAAAAATTACAGAATATCATCTCTGCAGGGGACATAAGTCAATCATTTTTCAAGCAGCTTCAGTACCTGAATAGTCTATTGGACAAGATCACTTGTTGTGAGAGTCTTTTTTATAATGGTTGTGGTAATATTAGAGGCGTGAATGCCTATGTACTTTTATGCAGATCATGCTTAGAATCTGAACAATTTGCAATGAATATTAAATAGAATGATGCAGTAAGGAGTATAGCTCTGAAAATTAATGCTTGAAAAATCAAGGTAGTTGTGTTTCACATGGACAATAGACTGAAAACTGAAAATTATACATAAACGAGAAAATACCAGAGAAAGTAGACAATTTTTATACTGTGCTTTTTCCTCTAGGAACTCAAGACAGATAGATAGTTACTGGCTCAGTTATTCAGGTTGCAGGTTCAGGTTAAAGCTGAATTTGGGTCTCTCTAGTCCTAATCCAATATGACACTGACTTTTAGTGTATTTTTGCAGAATGTTTAGTAAAGACAAGAAATGGAGACATTTTAAGACATGCAAATACTAATAGAAAGCTAGTGAGAGATCTTGAGATCCCGCGAGAAATTAGAAAGTTTGACTGAACTTTTTTTTTATCCCACAAACACAGCGAAGGCTGGGAAGCAAACAGAGAAATGCAATGCAGCTGAAAGGCAGATTAGTACAGTTAAAAAAACCGCTTGGGGGAGGCGAGGGCATCTGGGCGGTGGTGGGTGCGGCAACCTTACCCTGCGCAGGTTAGACAGGTGTCTGGCAGGTGGAGGGAAGCAACTCCACCCCCCTGCCACCTGCCGGCTGCTGCAGCAGCAGCAGTCAGCCGAGCGGAAGGCGATCTAGCGGGAGCAGCCAGTAGAGGCCAAAAGCGCCCAGCTGCACCTGCCGGGGCCCAAAGAACACCAGGTTCAGCCCTTAGCCCGGCACCTGCAGTACTGAGTTGTGGTGCAAGGTGGCGCTCAAGCAGCCCAAAGGTGTGGTTCCACTTGCAGCTGCTGGCGAAGGGCCCTGGCAGGCTGGCAGTGGGACCACACTCCGGATCTGGGCCAACTCACCCCATGCCAGGCTCGGGGCCCTTTCTGCCGCCACCCAGCACAGCCACACTGGTACCATACCTGGTCCGCCACCACGCTCTCGCTGCCGCATTGCTTCTCCACCCCATGCACAGGCCCCGCCCCATCCCCATGCGCTCGCGGCCTATTGGTACCAGTAAGGGCAAAAAGTAAGCCCTCTCCGAAAGTAAAACTTATTGCTTACTTCAGAGCCCAAAAGAAAGTAAGGCAGGGACTTACTTTCAGGGAAACACAGTAGAACCTTTTATATAAATTTTCTTTATAAGTAGCTGCCCTCATTATTTTGTAGTTTCTTTCCCATAGGTTTTGCCATTTTTCTAGCTCTACATTGTGCCCAAAGTTTTTTGCCCAAGTTATCATTGTTTCTTTAACTTGTTCATCTTCCATCTTTAAATTTAACAGAAAGCTGTACAGTTTCTTAATCAATTTGTCATCTGATGACAATAGTATCTGATCTAACATTGTTTGGTCTTTGTAAAAACCATATATTTTTGCATCTTTCTCATATCTCATTTGCATTTGCAGGTGTAGCCACCATGATAACTCAATGACTTGTGCTTCCAATTCTTGTTTAGTTTGTGGTTTCCCATCAGTATTCAAAATATCTTTAAAAGTCGCAAGTTTCTCAGGGTGTACAAACGCCTCCATTGTCGAAATCCATCCTGGTATTTTCATGTAAGTTCTTAATTTTACCTTTTCCCATGACAAAAGCAGTACATTTTGAAAGTATTTGTGAATTTTGTTCTTCCCATACCATAGGAAAGCATGCCATCCAAGTTGTAGGTCATGCCCTTCTAGGTATAATAGTCTTTTATTTCTAAGAGTTATCCATTCTTTTAACCATGTTAGTGCGGCTGCTTGATAGTACAAGACCCAGTCAGGTAGGCCAAAGCCTCCATTTTCTTTTGCTTCTTGTAACATTTTCAGTCTGA